TATAATAGAAAAGCTAAGAGCTTTTAGTTTAAACCGAAGTCTCTAATTGGATAGTTGACTTGGGAAGACCTACGTTAACTAAGGGGGTGTATTATATAGATACACGGACTATAATATAGGCCCTAGGGGATCTATGCCTGATTAAGGGCTTCGGTTCTCGGGGACCTCGGGTATTAAGCATATAATAAGGGAGGATACCGGAAAGGACTAGATAGGATCCAAATGACATAGTACTTATAACAGAGTCTTTACCATCTAAATTAAGGGCATAATAAACTCATATAGATGTAACTTAACATAATACACACACACGAGAGTTCTACTTTATCAAGTTAATCATACAAGTGCTATTTTAACATGTATTAACCATGTATAACTCCTATAAGGGTCTCTTGCTTCCTTAATCTGATACGCCCTGAGTAACGTAGATATATATAAGCTGCCTAAGAAGGATAATCGGTTCGATTATACTAATAACTCCTTTATTATCGCGGCCTATAAGAACCTTCATAAAGTAGTATAATAGATTACTAAGATAATATAATATTAAATCGAGTAGCGTAAAGATAACGGGGTCGGGCTAGACTTCGATATAGCTAAAACCTAACTCTTCTCCCGCTAGAAATAACCCTAGTTCCCTATTATAGGGATTCTTTATCTTAACTACGAAGTCACGGTAGCCTATACCGTTAACCCCGGAGGATTGCATTAGCTCGCCCCGATTAGGTGGCTCGGAATCTATATAAATAGGTGACTTAAGTTCCGCGACTACGTTAAATCGTCGGCGCGGAAGGGTTTTAAAGTCGCTACCTATATTAGAGGACTTACTACGGCCACCTACGGACCCAACCTAGCCTAACTATATTAAGTAGCTCTCGCGTACGTCCTGACTATTACGGACTACATAGCGGAGATCTAGTAAAAGGGGAAAGGGGCCCCGGCTTAGGGCCGCTTTAACGTAATTCACTAGAAATAGTGTAGGTTACTATCCAGATACCTCCCTCGAGCCCCTATAATATAATAAGTATAGATAACGATACTTTATACTATACTACCTATATAGAGACTAATACCCAGAGTAGCCTTTTACCAAGAAGCTAGTATACGCTTTATAAAAGAATACGCCGAGTACCTTTAATAAAAGTACACGATATATTTATAGGATTAGAAGTAGAGTACCCCGTTATATAAGACGTAACCGCGATTTATAAAGAAGTGGCTAAAAAGACTAAGGCTCCTACCCGGAGATCACGGGTCCTAAGGACTTATAAGCTCCTAGAAATAAACCTACTAAGAAGCCCGTTTATATGGCCCTATTTTACCGGAACACGGCACGATAATAAGCTACTCGATAACCGCCTCGAAGAAGAAGCCGCGAAGGCCTTTAACGAGTAGGTAGATAAACTGCCCCTAGCATATATAGTAGTCTACTCTAACGGATCGTTAAAAGAATGAATTACGACTTAGGTATTCTCTGTTTAGCGCGGCGGATACGAGATTACCTCGGGGTATAGGCGCCTCCGTAATATAGTGGTATTTAACGGAGAGGTTACGGGAGCCACGCGCGGCCTTACCATATCGTTACGGCTACCGGAAACAGATAAGGTCTTTTACTATATCTATAACTAAGTAGTACTTAAGGGACTAGCTAGTATAGCCCCTAGATTATTAGAATATGAATTCCTCTAGCAGTAAGGACTAGCGAGTAAAATTTCTACCGACCTTAGGTAATACCCGGAGTATATAGAGATACCGGGTAATAAAATGGCCGATAAGGTTTACTCTAGAGATAATATATGCGGTATACTACTAGAAAATAAGAGGCCGACCTAGGCTAGGGTAAAGGCTTAATTAGAGGCTTACTCTAGGACTATACTTTAACAATAGCACGCCGTATCCTAAGTAAACGGATACGATAAGAACTTATAGTAGTGGCTAGGGTTTAGCCGGCGCGGGCCGAAGGAACTTAGCCTACTACGTAGAATACTAATACGCCTCCTATAAGCACGTACTAGGCACGGTGAGTTTAGAGAATACCACGAGCGCTTTAGATATAAAGACTCCATCGCGGACTATAGCTACGGGTATACGAAAATAAGGGAGTATATCGCTTATTATTAGAAGGTTAGGGGAAATAAGGATAGTAAATAGCTAGCCTATTTCTAGCACGGGGATAACTAACCATATAATCGATAAGAGACTCTTACTAAGATCCTGATAAACGGAGCGGCTTTTGCCGCGCTAAATAATGTAATAGGATATCTAAAAAAATATACCTACTATCCTCTTAATTAGGAAGAGGAGTGCTGCCCTAGGGAACTAGGATAGCGGGATAGGAAAGTAAGGAGGGCCCCGAGGGCGTACCGCTAGTATGGATATTGTTATTTTTATATACCTTATACACTACTAAAGACAGTATAGTATAGAGTTTATCGTTCTTTATAGGAAAGGATCATATAGTGAAGCAATTCGCACTGCCCGATACGCGTATATCTAGTACTTACTGGTATTATGCCAAGGCGTTAAACAGCCACACACACATACACACAGACTTTAATATTACTATTACTATAGATAACGCTACCGCTATTACTATATAAAAGGCTACCGCTATTACTATATAAAAGCCTACCGCTATTACTATATAAAAAGCTACCGCTATTACTACGCGCGAGACTTTACGGCTTACCACTATAAGGTTTAAGCCGTTGACAATACCTCTAATATCCCCGTCAAACCCTAGGCGCGTTCTTTATAGCGTTAGCCGTGGTTCGGCGTATAGAAAAAGCAATAACCAATAACGGATAGCCGTGGATATCTCTAGGGGGTGCTTATTGGATATATAACTATAATTCGTGTGTCTATCTATTATACGCCTCTATATAAGTAAGAAGGTATAGAATAAATATATCTATAAGACGTTCTTTAACACTAGAAGGACTTATAACTCTATACGTATAAGGAAGTAAGCTATTAATAACGGCCACAATATTAGTGCTATAGATCCCTCTTCCTCTAGTACCTCCTAGCCACTACCCTATCTAACCCGTGATGATCTCCTATCTCCGCTAAATTACTACTACGATATACGCTTCTACCCGTTACAGAAACAGTAATCCCAAGTCGAGGAGAAGCACCTTAAGAGGTACCAAAAGATAGGCCACTAAAAGAAGGTAAGTAGTAATTAGGCTAATAAGTAATACACCCTTGCCTATAAATAGATATATATCTATAAGTTTAATAAGGAAAGGACCTTTACTAAGTATAAGACACGCCTTATAGTATAAGGGCATTAATAAAAACAGTAAAAGCTAAAGATAACTACGCCGCTATATAAGCCTCGCGGTCTTTCCGTAGACTAATAGTAATCGCCGCCCGATTTAACCTAGAGATATTATAATTCGATGCGGTTAACACGTTCCTTAACGCGAGCCTTAACGAGGAAGTATTTATAAAGATACCGTAAGGCTACGACGTTCTAGAGAAGGTCCTACTATTATAGAAAGCCCTTTTCGGCCTAAGAGTATCGCTACTATTATAGAAAGAGGAATTTAGCGGTACGCTATAGAAGATAGTATTCATAGCTATCCTTGATAATCTTTATATTATAATCTGTGACGGTTTAATTCTATTCTTCTACGTTAACGATATCGGACTTATCTCCTATGGAGATTATAAGACTAACGCCGATAACCTTAAGGCTACTCTTAAGCAAAGTTATAAGTTATCTAGAGGCGATAAGATCTGCCAGTATTAGAGTATAATCGGTTCGATTCTATATACCACTATTATAATAAGACTCGATATCGTGTTCGCCTACTCGAAACTTTCCTAATATAATATTAACCCTTCCTCTAACCACTTTAAGAGGCCCTAATAAGTACTGCTATTTTAATACTATAGAAGGCACTACTACATAGATTTTAGTAAGGATAAACTCTTCATAACCGCGAGCGACGCGTCTTTCGGGGATAATCTAGATCGTAAGAGTTTATAAAGATACACGATAAAGCTTTTCGGAGGAACTATTAACTAGAAAGCGGGTAACTAACCGATAGTTATAATACGGTTAATAGAGTTAGAACTACTTCCTCTTATAAAGGCGGCTATGGTGATATTATTTGTTGATCGGATATTAAGAGATTTAAAGCTTCGGTTATATTAATAATAACGATAGCCATATTATAATAATTAGCAGACTATTAACCTTATGAAATAAGAAGATATAAGACCTGTAAATAAGACTACGCTATGTTAATATATATAACCAATAGCCGCGCTAGTTAGTATAGTAAGGACTCTTTCAGGTTATATACGTTAATATAAAGGATATAATGGTAGACGGATTAACGAAGGCGTTACCGGAGGCGGGGATTAAACGACTATAATAATAGCTTAATTTAACGGATTAAAAGGATTGTATTAGGTGGTTAAAACGATTATACGAGAATATTAGGTGCGCGAAAGCCTTAGGAATAATAACGGCCCCTAAGCGCGTGGCAGGTCCGATAGATATAGATCCGATTAAGCCGATTACGCTAATTAGGAGCGAGGAACTAACTATAAAGAATCAAATTAAATTAAACGGTTAAAAATAGCGGATTTAGACCCCTTTTACGAGAGCGTTTTCCTACTTTTAAAAGACTATTATTGTTATAATAGACAACGTTAAGAGCTTTTAGTTTAAACCGAAGCCTCTAATTAGCTAGTTAAGCTAGAAGGACCTACCTTAACTAAGGGCTTCGGACCTTAGAGATTAGGATATAATAAGGGTAGATATCGGGAAAGACCGGATAGGATCTAAATAACATAGTACCTATAATAAGAGTCTACACTACGTAAATTAAGGGTATAAGAGACTTACAAAGATATAACTTAATATAATACACACAAACAAGATTTCTGCTCTATGAGGATTACTATATAAGTGCTATTTAACGTGCGACAGAAAGCCGAGTTAAGGACTTACTTTGACTCGCTCTACTTATGCCCAGTCACATGGCCATTCCTCTGTACGCCATTGATATTCGTTCAATCATTACCATCAATGTAACTTTGCTGCTTTGGTAACGTCTTGGAACAAATCACCGTTTCCGGTCGAAATTTATCCAGAGATCCAGAGCCTTGCATCATCAATTGGAGCCGACTTACCACTTAGTCAATACTGCCTTGGTTCCTGAAAGGATTTCCTGTCGAGAATGGCGACCGACGTTGATGCGAGACTGCTGAAGTCTACTAAATTTCCCCCCGAATTCAGTCAAAAGGTGGACATGCAGCAAGTGAACCTGCATGTCATGAAGAAGTTAGCCATGGCATCGTTTCTTTTTGTGCGCGCCTTGGCTATATCATGTTCTGACATGCGTTTCATGATAGGTGGATTGCGAACAAAATATCCGATGTTCTTGGTGATGACGACGATGTTGTCATTGAGCTCTGCCTTAACCTAATCGAGGGATCGCGTTTTGTATGTGCACCATCTGTATTCTACAACACGTACCCGGGGCTAATTCACCACGGTAGCCTGACATCAAATCTCTTCAAATCCAGCTTACTGGATTTCTCAACAAGCAGACCCCCTCCTTCTGCAAAGAGCTGTGGAACATGCTTTTAAGCGCCCAGAGTAGCCCGCAAGGCGTCCCAAAGGAGCTTTTAGAGGCGAAGAAGCAAGAATTGATTCAAGAAAAGGTGTGAGCTCTTATGGAGCGCCGAGAGGACAAAGTGCTGACATTTTACCGAATCCAGATTGAAGCTGATCGACTAGCCGAAGAAGCTCGTAAACGACGACAAGCAGCCGACCGAACCACGATTGGAAGGGGCAATGCGAGAGATCGTCATGAACAGACTGGAGCTCGTGCCCGTGATACTTGGCGTGGCCGATATAGAGATCATAACAACTCCGACTCCTACAACAGGCCCAGCCCCATTCGGCATGGCCGCCGATCGATGTCACCGGTGCGTCACCGTGAGCGAAGGGACAGAGATGGTTATCGGGATGCACCATACTTTGACAGTTATAAACCGGACAACCGTCGCCGCGGGCAACGAAACACAAACGCAACGCAACGAGAGAACGCGACTAGATCACGTTCTCCATGCGGCTTATCTCACGCTGCTAGCTGCAGCCCGACGCCGGAAGCTCGACACCGTCGATGTCCCAGCATGACGCGTGAGTCACCCGCGAGCTCATCACTATCAGAAGAGAAGGAATCACAACGACGGTCTCGCCCACGGACTCGAGGAGGACGAGTGGATAATTCAATACGAGATAGTCCACATGGGTCACGGTCTATGTCTCCTGATAGCTACCCGCCTGCTTCGAAACGAGCGAGGCGTTCCCGCTCTCGAAGTTGATCACGCATCTGAGTAGATGAGTAGACAGGCTGAGGTGCCCACGTATGTCTGGCGCGTCTTCTATGGCGCATTTAGCTTGTAGCTGCGACTGGAAGCGTTGAGTCGGGCCGCTTATACCCGAATCTCGGAGATACAATACCCTCAATGTCGTAATAAAGATCAACATCCAGAAGGACATATGATTCTATATAGTACGTGCAAGACGAAAGGTCTCGAATATGGTGGGAGCGAAGAGCAGTTGCAGTTCTCTCTCCACCTTTTAGCTTAATGTCAGAATAATCGGGTCAAGGTACCGCGGAATTATCCATGTTCCATTCTTCTAGACTTGAGGGTGTCAGATGCAGCGTAACCAGAACGGTCAAAATAGGGTCAAAATTGATCAATGTAATTATATATAATTATAACTCTGTAGGACCGCCAGGGAACCGCTACCACGGTAATATATTTAGTGCGGATTCTGTCTAATACAGCGTAGTTAAAATCGTTATAAAATAGGTTAAAAATTTAATAAAGGTAATTATATATAATTATAACTGTGTACGGACTACGCGTGCCACGCCCCACTTATTTTGGTTCGTTTAGCACTCACGAGCTATAAGCTGGTGCTGGACAGTTATACGGCCAGGACAGTTATATTGCCACTTGCTTCTCTACCCGCCAAATCTCAAGTAATAACTACTATATTTTTACTATTAAGTGAGATACTAATAAAGTAGCTACGTAGAAAATGTTAGCTAAATCGCTTTAGATTTAGCGGGTAGAGAGGTAAGTGGCGATATAATTACCCTGGCCGTATAACTGTCCAGGACCAGCTTATAGCTAGTAAGTGCTAAACAAACCAAAATAAATAGGGCGTGGCACGGGTATTAGAGAATTCCTACTACTATGATATTAGTAGTAAAGATTCTATAGGTATCTACCCGGATTATAATCTCGGTAATCCGGCCCGTTATATAACCGTAAAAACTATAGTCTATTCGATATACCCCTTAATCGCCCTAAACGTTAGTTAGGCGATAAAAGCTATTTATAACCGGCAGATATAATAGCGATATAATCTCTTCGCTATAGCCGCCCTTAAATTTATCCTCTAGGTCCTCTAAATATTCTATCCGGGCTTCCTTTAACTTATTTTAGTATAACTATTCCCTTAAGCGTCCTTAGTTATTACATACGCCTTATAGTCATAGGCTCGAAGATATAATAAAATCGTTATTAAGGTGCCCTTACTATAATAGTAGCGGGAGAACGGAGTTTTCCCCCTAAGCTAGAGCTTAAAATATAGATCGCTAAGTATAGAATCGACTATGGATAACTAATATTTTACGACCGCCTATAGGTATTAAGGGATAGCGAAAACAGGGTTAATTACCTATTATAAAGCTATCTTATATAAGCGATCCACGACTTAGTACTCGGTAGATACCTAGGCAGGGATAATACTATTGCCCTAATCGCCTGTTAATTCTTCTAGCCCGGTATAAATTAAGATACTAGAAGATTCGTGCGGAATTATAATATATACTAAGCTAGCTATGTATAAAGGGGTACGAAAAGAGGATTACTACGCTTATTCCCTATACTAGAGTAAATCTTCTACGATATCGCGATAGACTTTATAACGGACCTACTACCTACTTAGAAGGGTAAGTATAGATACTTATAGGTAATTACCGACTAACTCTTAAAATCGGTAATACTAAAAGCGATAGATACTATAGATACTAAAGCCTATACTAAACGGTTCTTACTATACAATTATAGGTTTTACGGAATACCGAAGTCTATTATTAGCAATAGGGGGTTAAATTAGACTAGCCGCTTTTAGCGATACTTTTATAAACTCGCGGGTATTAAATAGTGACTAAGTACCGTATATTACCCTTAGACGGACGGAGGTCCTAAATACATTAACTAGGAAATTAAAGCTTACTTATAAGCGTATACCTATTACGCCTAAGTCGATTAGAATACGCTATTACCGGTAGCGTAGCTAGCCTTAAATAACCGGGTAAACTCGATAATCTAAATAAGCCCGTTCTTTCTATAATACAGGTATTACACGAATCCTCTCTAAGTTAATAAGACTACGCTAACCGATAAGCGTAAGGCTTCCGCGTATAACCTATTAAATCGCCTTAAAGAAGCTATTTAGTTTATCTAAGCCGCGATAGCTATTATATAATTACGCTAGGAGGAGTTAGTAAACCGTTATTATTACCCTACTCAGAGGTTTAAAAAGGATATCCTTATATAGCTAGATATTAGTAACTACTCCTTACTACGGCCCTCGAAAAAACTTACCTAGCTCTACTATAAATATAAAGTTACGAAGGTTATTAACTCCTATATCGTAGAACTAAATATCCCCTTATAGGTCTATAACCGTTTTTACGTGGATCTCCTATAATAAGCCGACTATAACCCCTTACTAGGGTAAGCAATAGTAGACCCTTAGCCGCTACCTATCCGTGAAGGGCTAGACGGGGAAAAGGAATAGATAGTAGAGGAAATCCTTTACGTCTATATCTGAAGGCGAGGTTATAGTAAGGTCCGCGAGGTATTAGTATAATAGGAGGGCTACGTAGAATTAATATAGGAACCGCTTAAAAGCCTACGGGAGATATAAGTACTTAACGAATTCGAGAAGAAACACGGCCTAGTATAGTCGAGTAACGGGCCTTTATAATAGTATATAAAGGAGACACGGATACGAAAAAAGACCGATACGGTAGCGAGGAGAATAAAGACCGAAAATAAGATTATATTAGGGTTATACCCCCGCGCTATTTAATTTATAAGTAGGAGAGAATTAAGTAAAAAAAGGACTTATTACTCTATAATCTGCCCCTCCTTTAACTCCTCCTCTTATAAGACTATACCGCCCTTAGTAATACCTACCTACGACTTCTTTACCGGCTTAAAATAAGCCGCTAAGGTGGCTATACCCTCCTTACTATTAACGATAAAAGGAGTAATAACCTCCTAGGGAGGAGCTAAGGTAAGCGCGACCTTAAGGGCTACCTCCGGCGTACTACGAGTAAGAATAGGGCGTAACTCGACTCAATACTTATACACGCGCTTAGCACTATTAAAGACGCTACGGACCTCTAACTATATAGCGGAAAGAGTATTATTAGTGTTCTCTGGTTTCTACGATATATCCTTAAGCGTTTAGTCTATACTATATATAAAGGTAGCGATATTATTAAGAGCTTATACTACGCTTACTTAAAACTTAGTAGTAACGGGCGGGGCGGCGGGTAGCGGGGCGGTAAACGGCGGGGTAGCGGATAGCTAAGTGGTAGTAGTGGCGGGGGCGACCGGAGTAAGGGCGGCGGCGGGAGTAAGGGCGATAGGCGGGGCGGGCGGCTATAAGGGAGTAGCGATATTTTTACCCGATTTAGGCTAACTAAGAGCGACTTAGACACGGCCGTAGGTATCCTAGAACTAGCGGCGATTCTATATAGAAGAATTAGTATAAAGGCTACTAAGCAAAGGGCAGGTATAAACTTATATCTTCGTTATTAGGGTCCTTATTTATAGCACGAGCGGTATTCTATAGGGCGTTAGCGGCGTCGTGGGCGGTAGGGGGGAGCTATATTACCCGTTAGTCGTAGCTATTATACGTATAACTAGTACACTTACCTCCGAATACTTTTAAGTATAGTATAAGTACTTATAATACTTAGCGTTAGCCCTAGCCGCGCTAGGGCCCGACTAGCAGTAATACTCGATACTATACTCATATTTACACTACCGGGTAGTATACTACGAATACGGGGTAAGGCGATAGGGTCCTAAAGGATTTTTAGGAGCATAGCGCTTCATAGTAGGAGGAGGGGTTAGAGTCTACTTATCGTTAGTTACGGCCGACCTTATAACCTATAGTAATAAGGGCCGCGAACTTATATCGTTATTATTATTACCCTTATAAGGGCGTTTATTAGGTAAGGCGAAGTTAGATATCTACCGCCGGTTAGCTACGGCACGGAATTATAAACGAGGGGAGTACTAACTTATAGTGAGTAAGATACTTATAGCTTAAGAGATAAGCTATTACTTGGCGATATTAGTTATACTATTAGGGGACCTACGAGGTATTTCGGGGCTACTTATAATATAAAAGGAAACAATGAAAAACAAATAAAATAGGAAATCGGAAGCTATAGAAGAGGGAGAAAATAGTAAAAAACAAGGAATAGTAGGAGGTTTATTTTACTACCCTTCTTATGTTATTAGGGTGGAAGGAATAACTCCTAGTTATATACACGGTAGGTATATCGTTTATAACGAGCACGTATACCGGCGAGGAGCTCGGGATAGCACCGCTATATAAGAACTCCTTCATACTATTTTAGCCTTAAAAGGACCTTGGCTGCTACGGATTACCTCTTTTCGAGGGAGCCTTTAATAGAATGGAATAAAGGAGGCTATTTTTAGGTCATACGCGGGGAGGCTAGGGTAATACAAGGTCATAACCGGACGACTACGATACGACCGCGACCTCGCCTCTAGTAGGGGGGGGGGGGGGGTATATTACGGGCTATAGCCCGTAGAATAGTCCCCGGCAGTAGCCGGGACTAAGAAGCATGGACTCTCTAGCGAGGCCCGTCCGATCCTATACGTACTTAGCCGCCTGCGCACCGCGTAGACTTTTCCTTTCCTCTTTCCCTTCCTTATTTCGAATAAACTGTATTTTCGGCCTCAATACATAAACAACTTTTGACAAGCCGTCACATTTACTCCGTTAATCCACATGTTGAATCCCCCCCTCATACTAAAACGCCGCTAATACCCTTATTAAAGCCGCCGCTAACGCCCGTAAAAGCCGATACCTTTTATAGGATTCCTGATTCTCTATAATACTATATACATTACGTCCTCGCTACTAACTCTATTATAGAATATCCGTAATTATAAGTAAGCCGCGACCCGTTAAACGGATACTTTTTAAGTATACCGTGCCGCTCTATACTAGGCTTATAGTATTAGTATAGTTATTACGCCCGCGTAGCGTTATAAATACGCTTATAATAGCGAGATATTAAAGGCTATCCTTACCTACTTTATAGGTTACCCCGCGCCTCCCCCGTATTAACCCTATTACTAACACGTATCGTAGAACCTCCTTATTCTATTATCGGGAGACATTACCGCCTCCGCTACTAAGGATAAGGGTAAGAGTAATAATAAGGTTAACTTAGTAGATAGGGGAGTAATTAGCTCCGATAAGTATATAAATAATAAGGATGAGGAGTAAGTAGTTAGTGTATAGCGCGGCTATAGTATAGCCGTATAGCGGCTATTAATAAATATCTTATTTAGCCTTTACTTATTTTCTGCGTATCCGTCTTTA